TGACTGATCTTAAGGAATTATAATGATAATGCAGCGAATAATCAATTCATTCGTGAATTATGCAATTGTGATAAAAAGTACAGGCTTTAAAACAAACTATTTAAACATGCAGTATATACACCTTTTACTTAATTTAGAATTTTAACAAGAATTTGTTCTATAAATGTTAAAAATACCGTGCAAATATCACAATTGTGAAAAACAAAAATGAAAATTCTAATAGAATTTTCAGTTCTATAATTTTCTCTTTTTCAACTTAAAGAACGTCCATTAGACTTAATTTATCCTCTAGCAAAAAATTATTATTATGTTTATTGGTACATAGATGTTAAAGATGTCAACGTTTGGTTTTTTCTAATTTCATCAAAAGTGAAACGTTGGAACGTTGAAACGTTACGTTGCACAATATGAAACTTTATGGCAAAGACCAACGTTACATAATGAATTTTCTGCACTTGAATACCTTACACAACGTTCAGCTTTAGTAAATGTTGGTGAAAAAAGTAAGCTCCGCTACGCGTTTGTAATCCCTGTTTTAAAAAACTATCCCAACGCTGCGTTAAAGGTTTAGGAATATAACCACAATTTTATAACGTTCCACTTTCATCCAGGGTAAATGTTTTTTAATAATTTTACGTTACAATTGCACTTGGTTTGGCAACTAAAAGGTGACAAACGTTTCGATTTAATAATTTAATAGGCATAGTTCTGCACGTGGCAGTAAATTTTAGTGCAAAGAATATTTTTTGTTAACGTGACGTTTTATCTTAACTTTTCCAATGTAAAATCTTTGAATTACGTTAGAAAGTCTACTAAAATGCAGCTTTTCTTACGTCACGATTAATCTAAACGTTTCACTAATTTACAACTGGCAATCAAGACTGTTTATTCGTTTCGTGTCTAAGAAAGATATGAAAAAAATGTTCCATAACGTTTTACGTTGTATTAAAATGTTCATGCCTTAACGTTTCTTATATTACACTTTATTGAAAATAATTGTTTCTAAATCAAAGTATTACAAGATTTAGTTTCCGTGATATTTGCATTTTTATTTCCATATTTTTATCATAGAACATGAACCATACAAAAAAGTCGTTAATCCCCTTTTCACTTTGTATGTTGCTGTTGTATTTTTTAACCTTTTAAATGGATCTGTAGAAGAATGCATCAATATAAAGTGTAAAATTGCTAGTGTAATCTTTGATATTATTTGATACTTAGATTATTTGATCTAACAAAATTCATAGTTTGATATCGAAGGTAGCGAAGATATAGAGATTAGAAAATATGAGTTTGGTAGAAATACTCAACTCCTTTAGACTTTCTCATCTAACAGTAGTCATAAATAGTTTGAAATATCAAAAGTCTACAACATTTGCTTGCAAATATATATGGATTAGAATATTTTAACTTGTGAAGGTTTTTCAATTCTTTTTGTGTTTTTTTTATGTTTACAAAACACAATAAACATGTTTTTAGGGTTTATGTTTTGGATTAAAAATATCAAAATAAAGTATGGTAAATAATAAATATTTTGTTAAAACAAATAACGCCAAATAAAATTTTGTGAAATCTTATATTTTTACAAATTAATTAGTAATAAGTTTTCTAGTCCATTCTAAAGGTTTATAAAAATCTATTGATGAATAAAACATAACATGCATTTTCCAATTGATAACATATTTTTGCATTTTAAGAAGTATCTACATTTCTAGATTTTTCAAACAAAAACAGACCCGTTCCACTTAATAAGCTTATTTATTTGCTACTAGTAGATAATTTGCTGTAACATCAAATGCATATGTAAACTTTTTTAAATGTCGAGTTTAAGGGGGTTCCATTTTACATGGCAAATTAAAAACCTTTAATTTATAAGATTTGAATTTTCAACAATTGCATGTAAAAAAAACAGTTTTTTTTAAAATTTATACTTAAAAATAGGCCTGTTTATAATCTTTATAAATCTGCTTATATTTAACAGACATATATTCAGCATCCAGGCTTTTTTAGTCTGCACTTTAGAAAGGAGCTGAGTTGCTGGCAAATATTCTACTCCATATATCTTTACAACCTGATGGTTTAAACCTTTGATATTTCAATATCAAAGGTTTACGATATCAGGTTGCAAAGATATAGTGCCTAAAATTAGAGTTTGTGGCATAAACCACATTTTTTTGAACTTAAAAAACTTTTGTTCCTGATTATTTAGTTAATAAACCGTTTCTGAAACGTTAAACGTTTTCATTATGATATTAGGGGAAACGTTTCAAAACTTGTCATTAACAGAAATGCATTTTTTAATTCTACAACATTTCTTTAAACTTGAACTTTGAAATAGAAATTCTTTCGTTATGATATGCAATCAAATAACAATTGTTTTTTTTTTAAATGTTAGACTTATAATCTCCCCATGGACACAAAACGTATCTTTACGTTACTGTCAAAAACGTTGCAAATATTAGAAAAATAATGTTACATTACCAAAAATGCTAAAGTTAGGTGTCTGTTTCCATAACGTTAAAGTTTAATATTAAAAACGTTAGGTATTAGCTTCTATAACGTTAACGTTGAACGTTCACGTTAAAAAGAATATATCTAAATGCTTCCTATTACTGTAACGTAATTTACAAAAACGTATATTTTACGTTACGTTACATTATCGTTGACATCTCTAATAGATGTAACCTTATTACAGAAAACTGACAACATAAGAAACTGCAGATTAACATAGAAGAATAACAAGAAATAATAAGAACTTACTCGTCTATTAGGCCTTTTGTCGGCTAAGAGGAGTACAGCGATAGGCCCCCTACTGGCAAACAAGGTCAGGAGGACTTTATAAAGACCAAAAAAGAATGCATTGTGAACAGACAAAAGATTCAGTTTTATGCTCGACTTAAAATCCTTAACAAACCCGCTACCATTTTGAAAAACAATGCGACACTAGGGACTAAACCACTTTAGATTTATTTTGGTCAGATCTCTAAACCACCTTAATTTTATTTGTGTTGGATCTTTAGTAATTTCCATTCATATAACTCCAAAGAGAAAAAAAAGAGAAAACGTTGCTTGAAAAGGTTAAAGTGGTTAGAGATTTATTCTACAAGAATAGTACTTATATCTCGGATTATTCGAGACCCTTAATGTATCTAATTAGTATAATAAAAAAATTCTTTTAGATATCTGTTGGATTTGGTGATTTTTTCATTTTTAATCAATAAACATGATGATGTAATTAATGTAATGAGCTATTTCTTACTTTTTCTTCAAAGATTATCAAATTAGTTGCTTTGTGATTTGGCAACCTGTCAAAGATCAAGCAAAAATTGGACTTTTAGTTAATTGTATTTATACTCAAGAACTGAAGATTTGTGAAGCTGTTGTTGAAATATTCTTGAAGTTTGTATTATAATCTATAAAGTAATTTTTAATCTGTTTTTAGTTTTTTTAATCAAAACAAAGATAATTGAGATTGGGATTTAAAAACAGTAGTTCAGTATTCCAAATTATGATTTGTCCTAGAAATGACGCTTAGTGTCAGATTGAGAAACAATTTTAGATAGAACCAACGATATTTGAGCCGCGGCTCAAATTCTTTTAAGTTGGCTAAAAATGTGCAAAGCTAACTTGTTTAACTGTTTATATTTTTCAATTTGAATTAAAAAAGAAAAAAGCCGTCTGCATTCATAAATTTAGAACTATTTAGAACATTTTATAACAAAAATTTAAAAAATAAATCCCAACAATTAAATAAATTTTAATTTTTGATGTTTATTGATAATATTTTAGAACATGTCACATTTTTAAAACAAATGCAAAGTTTTGGCGCAAAACACGTTTTGGAACATTTTGCGACCTTGTATCATTTCACAGATTTTAATCAATGATCTTTTCAAAGAAAGTAAATTTTAGAAAAGAAGTAGTTCTGTTCGAGCTTAATAATATGTCTGAAATAGTTCTCTTCGAGCTTAATAATATGTTGGAAATAGTTCTGTTCGCGCTTAATAATATGTTGGAAATAGTTCTCTTCGAGCTTAATAATATGTTGGAAATAGTTCTGTTCGAGGTTAATTATGTTGGAAATAGTTCTCTTCGAGCTTAATAATATGTTGGAAATAGTTTCTTTTATTGAAAGTTACTAAAAACGTTGATCATAATATGTGTGCCCAAATCTGACACTCAGTGTCAAGTTTGGAACAGAAGCACGGTTTGGAATTGAATAATGCAATTTAAAGATGTTTCAAGGTATACATACTGTGGAAGAAACAATATGACAAAGATCTTCAAAGTTTTGTAGGCATAGATCTTTATTCAATATAAGTGAATTTAAATTAGTTAGTAATTAATTAGTTATAATATTTTCCTACAACTTTTTCTATAAAAAGCTTTTTCTTCTTCAAAGGGGAATGTCCACATTTCCATACAAAGGGTGAGGGGGGGGCCTTCGGACTTCGTTTTTAGATATTTCTCTCTGATTTTTGTGCATGCAGGCCTGAAATGTGATCTAGATTTTGTATCAAACACCAAAGTAGAGAAAAAATAATTTCCCATCATTTTTCCCGCATTTTTCGAGCATTTTTTCAAAAACTATGTGATAGGTCACTAGGGGAAACCCAATTCTGGACTATATTATGCATTTTCAACTCTTCTTATACCATCCCCCCCCCGTTCCCGCATTTCCCCCCTCCAAACAGCCAAAGAAGCCTTTTGACTTTATTATTAGAGATTTCTCTCTGATTTTTTGCATGCAGGACTGAATTGTGATCTAGTTTTTGAATCAAACACCAAAGTGGAGAAAAAAAAAATTTTCCTTAGATTTTTCCCGCATTTTTCGGGCATTTTTTCAAAAACTTTGTAATAGGTCCATGTGGGGTGTCTAAAGTCATCAATATTAGGACGGGAAACCCAATTCTGGACTATATAATGCGCAACTATCAATATTTTTCTAAAAAAAGTGGTTTCTCTCATGTTTCTAGGACACCCTGCTGTACACATTACAAAATAAGGGGTATTTCTTTTATTTTTTTTATGTTCTGAGGTTTGGAGTAAAGGATAAGGTAGTTGGGATACATTTTAAACATATACACAAATGACTGCAGAATAAAGCCGTATTACAAGTCCAATTCACGCAAAGTCAGCAGTTGGCAGATTAAATTAAAAGATTGATCCTCCACGGGATTGTCTGATGGTGGAGAGCTGTCCATCTGCCATTCTAACTCTCTCCTCAGTCTCCTCAAGCTCCTGCTGGGATTTACGGAACTTGGCTAGGTTAAGAGCTGCAATCTCTTCAGCCTCTTCAATCTGTTTCTTGTATGTCTTGATCTTGGCTTGCAGCTTGCTAGCTAGGTCAGACATTCTTTCTTGATTCTTATGATCTTCATCATTTTGGAACTGTAGCTCCTTAATCTTCCTTTCAGCTTTCTGATGAGCCTTTGCATTGTCTCCAGTACGTCCTTGGACATTTCCAAGCTCAATCTCCAGCTCCCTCACACGAGTTTCAAGCTTGGCCATTGCTGTACGACCTCCTCTCATGGCATGTTCATTGGCCTCAGCAAGATTCTGTTCAAGCTCATTCATTTGAGTTTCCAAAGCACGCTTTGCCTTTGCTTGAGTATTAACATGATCTTGCTCAGCACGAAGCTCATCAGCAAGGCGTGCAGCATCAACCATTGCCTTCTTTGACTTTTCTTCACTGTTCTTGGCTTGGTGGAGCATATCGTCAATCTCAGCTTGCATGGTGTGACAATTCCCCTCAATATGCCTCTTTTCAGCAGAAGCTCTACTGTTGATTGTAGTCATCTCATTGACAGCATTGCGTGCTTCTGCAAGTTCAGCCTCAGTTTGCCTTTTGCCTCTCTCAGCAGAATCCAAAAGAGACCTGGCCTCCTCCATCTCTCCCTGAAGAGCATTTGCTCTCCTCTCAGCAAGACTTGCCTTTTCAGACATCTCCTGTCTTACTCTTGATGCTTCCTCATAAGCACATTCAGATTCTCTCAATTGGCACTGGAAAAATGAAATATTAATTAAATAAAATTACAATAAAAGTAAAAAATAAATTCTATTTTTTCACCTGATAACGCTTGATAGACTTTTGAGCTTCATTGTTTGCCTTGTTGGAATGATCCAGGGCAATCTCTAGCTCATTGATATCTCCTTCAAGTTTCTTCTTGATTCTGAGAGCTTCAGACTTAGCTCGCTGTTCAGATTCAAGAGAAGCTTGCATGCTCTCCATTGCACGCTGATGATTCTTTCTAAACAATAAAACCCATTTTGTTAAGGAAATAATAAGCATATAAGCCATTTCCTGTTAAAGTTCCTTAAGGTTAAAATCATTTGTGTTGTTAATTTACCTAGAGTTATTAAACTCTTCTTCTTTCTCTGCAATTCTGCGGTCAATTTCTTGTCTGACTTGTCCAAGTTCCAATTGAGCCCTCAGTACCTACATTTTATCAGTACTTATATACTTTTGATTACAGAGGTATGAAAGTAAGGATTTATTTTTAATGATTATTTATCTATAAGTGTACCTTGTTTTCTTCAGACTCAAGTGCACCTTCAGCTTCTTCAAGTGCAGCCTGCAATTCTTCCTTCTCAACTTCAAGTCGTCTACGCTGTTTGTCAAGCTCATGGATTGATCTACCTCCATCACCAAGCTGATCTAGTAGATCTTTAATTTCATCAGCAAGATTTTTGTTCTCACGCCGAACTATATCAAGTTGCTCATTGGATTCGTCAAGGGCAGCTTTGAGGCGGAATCCTTCAGCATTAAAGTTGCGACATTCAGAATGGCTGGCTTCTAGTTCAGCTTGGATATCATCAGCTTTAGCCTTCCATTCTCCAACAACTTTGTCAAAGTTTCTTCCACGTTTTTCTGTTATAACAGCGGCAGCATGAGTTCGTTCATATTCCATTGCCATTTCTTCAAGCTCTGATTCAATTCTGTGCTTAGATTTCTCAGCTGAAGAAATTTTTGAGTTTAAAGACTCAATAGCTTCTTCAGCTTCTGAAACTCTTGCAGCTAATTTATGCTTGCTTCCTTCTAGTTCCTCAATTCTTCCAAGCCCCTCAGTTTCAAACTTGGACCTCCATAGCTGTATTTCAGCTTGAGCCTTAGATAAAGCACGCAGAACATCATTCTTCTTCTCGGATTCTTCATCGATTTTCATTCTAAGGTTTTCAGCGTCAGTGCTTAAGTTTTTGTATTTTGTAAGTAGAGCAGCTCTGTCACGAGCCTCACCATCAGCCAATCTCTTTGTGTCTTCAAGTTGGGTGGTAAGAGATATTTTGTTTTTCTGAAGGGCAGCAATGGCATTTTCAGTCTCATCAATCTGGCGGGACAAATCTTGGGATTCAACCATTAGCTTTTTCTTGGTAGAATCTGCTTCATTTAGAGCACGAGCTAGTTCATCAAGTTTTTGGTTTGATTCAACAATCAGACTTTGTGTCATTTTGCAATTCTTCTCCATATTAGCTCTTTCCCTCATTGCTTCCTCCAGCCCAGTTCTAGCTTCTTGCAAGTCCCTTTCCATACCTGCCTTATCCTTCTCGGATTTGGCTTTGTTTTTGTTAATAGAGTCAATCTGTTCTCCTAGCTCAGACATGCTATTGTTATGCTTCTGACGTAGAGCAGCAAGAGTTCCTTCATGAGCAATGTTGGCCTCTTCAAGGTCTGCCTTTAATTTGTGTAGTTCGGCCTCCCTCTTTTTGTTCAATTCAATTTGGGTAGAAGTGTTGGATCCTGCCTCAGCTAGACGAGTTCCGATGTCCTCTAGATCACGAGACAGAAGAGAACGGTTTTTCTCTGCCTTAGCCCTATTGTTGCGCTCAACAATGATTTCCTCATCAAGTTCATCAATTCGGGATTGAAGTTCTTTGACTTGCTTAGAGTATTTTCCTCCAAGAGTTTGTTCATCTTCAATCTTAGCATAGAGAGAGGCAGATTCTTTTTCCTTCCTCTGCACTGTTTGAGCAAGCTCTGCATTAATTCGCTCAAGGTCTGATGTAGCTTCCTGTGTTAACTTCAGGTCACCTTCAACCTTACGCTTCATTTTTTCTACATCTCCTTTAGCTTTCTTTTCCCTTTCAAGAGTGTCCTCACATTCATCAAGTGATTGTTCCAACTTTCCTTTGACTTTGTTGAGATGGTTACAACGGTCCTCCATTGACTGAATGTCCTCTTCAATCTTTTGTCTACCTTCTCCAGTTGACTTTTTCTCCTTTGATAGTTTGGCAATTAGATCCTCCTGATGAGCAATTTCATCTCTAAGGGTGCGGATTTGGTTGTCTTTAGTCATCTTGTCCTCTTCACATTTTCCAATTGTGTTTTCCAAATTCTTGATTTCATCTCTAAGTTTTGTGGCTTCTCCAGTAACCTTGATTCCAGACTGTTGAATTCCAGCAATGGTTTCTTCCTCTCCTCTAATTCTCGCATTAGTTTGATCAACCTGTTTCTGAAGGTCATTTCTTGCAGCTTCAATCCTGTTGGTTTTGTCAATTATATCCTGAAAAAAACTCAAATTTCAATATGAAATTCAACAAGAAATTTGGAATTTAAACAAAGCTTTTACTTCAAATATTCTTAATACTAGGCTTTTAAGGGCTCTGTGTGCTCCTTTCCTATTAACAATTTTAGCTTTTAACTATTGCTCTAAAAAAATTTTCACCATGCTAAAATTTTTGTGGATTATTTATTAAATTAGTACATTTTCAAAATTAATGTCTACCATTTTTTTCACCTTTAAAGAGCAATAAACCTTTCCTAGGGTTATGCAAGTTGCCACAAAAATGTGAGCCCAAACAGTTCAGCCATTTAAAATTTTTTTGTGTTTTTTTTTAAAATTTTTTAATTGTTCTCAAATTTTTGCAGATTTTTCTTATTAAATTAGTGCAATTTCAAAAATAATAAATTCCAACATCTTTCTGTGCTAAATCTTTCAACCTCGACCAGCCTTAAGACTTCCCTTGGATCATGTGAATTGCCTTAAAAAATGCTAGGCTCAATTTCTTCAGCCACTTTTTATTGGGTTTAAACAATCAAACACCCAAAATGACAAACAAGCAACATATAGATAAATGAAACTTAAATTGATCATCAAAAAATTACCTGAACAGCGTTTCCACCAGAGTTGAGAGCAAGGTCTAACTCATTCTTCTCATTAAGGAGTCGGTCATGTTCAGCAACAACTTTGTTGCACTCAGCAATAGCTTTGTCAATATTGGCCTCAGCAAGTGCAATTTTTCCTTCATATTCAGCCTTGTATTTTCCAAATTGGGTGCATTTAAGATTGGGTTTGATTGCCATCCACATCTGCCACCACAGCCAGGTTTTACCAATATAGTAGTTTCTGATAGTTCTCTGGCAACAGTACAGGGCAAGCTTCTGATCCTGAAGTTTCTTAAACTGCATTCTGGAAGATTTACCTCTTGCACCAGACTGGAGCCAAGCTAGAACTTGACCAATCCTATCTTCACGAACTTCCTCCATGAAGCCAAGAATACCAGCTCTAAAAAACACCTTTGTGTGACCAAGACGATACTTTTCTTTCTCCAATTGGATTGCTTCAAGTACTGCTCCAGCAGCACCCTTGTCATTCTTGGCCTTTGCTACAAGTTTTGCAGCAAGAATGTTGTATCGAGCCTTGAACTCAGCATAAATCATCTTGTTTGGAAATCCTTTTCTGCAAATGGCAATACCAGCAAGCACACCATTGCACTGATACTGATGCATAATGAGACCAGGTTCGACTCCTCCCGGTTGTTTGTGGGTATTAGGTACCACACAACGAATAAAATGGGGCTCAGTCTTGTAAAGAGTGGTCATAAGGTCATCAAGTTGACCCTTGAAGTAGGAAGAAACAGTTTTTCCACCTCCTTTCTTCTTTCTGCCACCATCATCCTTAGGAGCTTCCAGAGGTTGTCCAGGATGATCAAGAAAACACTGGATCATAAGAGAATTAGATCCATTTTTGATCATCTCAACAATGGTGTCATTAAGAGGATCCTTATTCTTTTCTAGCCAGCTGGTTAGATTATATGATACTGTGGCAGCATAGTGAAGAACAGCAAAATGTGCATCTGGGTCAGGTCTTGGGTTAGGTTTAGCAAAATTGGGCCACTTACCAAGAAGATTGGCGTGGAGCTTTTCACAAAAGGTCTGATCAGTAGCTTTTGGGAAGAGAGATTCCTCCTCAAAGACAGCCAAGAGTCCCATAGGTTTCTCAAACATATCAATGCACTTCTGCAAATCCATACCAAAATCAACATTTGCCCAGTCAAGACCCTCTCTTACATACTCCTCCTGCTCTAGAGTGAACATGTGTTGGTTGAAAAACTGTTGGAGCTTTTCGTTGACATAGTTAATACAAATTTGCTCAAATCCATTAAAGTCAAAAATTTCAAACCCAGCAATATCCAAAACACCAATGTACTGAACTTTCTTCATAGTAGGATCACACAAGGTTTCATTGCATTTCTCTACAACTAGTCTAAAGGTTCTCTCGTAGATTGCTCTAGCAATTCCAGCAACTGAGCTTGCAGCATTATTACAAGACGAACCCTTCTGTACCCATTCAGTTCCCACCTTCAGTTTAGGTTTGCAGAAATAAGTAATCATCCACTCAGCATCAATTCCCATAAGAGTTGCAACAATATTGGCATTTTTCTCATCCTTGATCTCAGCCTGTTCATCCTTGCCAACAGGTACAAAATCCTTGGTCATGTTACCCATGTGCATCATGCATGCGGTATTTTTAAAAACATCATACTTTTCATCTTGAGAAAATCCCAAGATGTCAAATGCCTCATCAGCAAATTGCATGTCCTCTTTGTCATTGATTGACTCAACAGACAGTTTTCCCTGAGACACATACCAGTAGTCACGGATATCATCAGTCAACAAGCATTTCTCTTTTAGATCAGGAACTTGATCAGACATCAAGTTGTAGAAAGCATGGTAGCATCTCTCAAGAGGTTGTTGGTAAGTAAGGCGAGATTTCTCCAGAAGGTATACAACCATGTCAGCTCCAGACAGTTTACCGGCTGCATTGAAATGGATACGAATAAACTTACCAAATCTAGAAGAGTTGTCATTTCTCACAGTCTTAGCATTACCCCAGGCTTCAAGAACAGGGTTGGTTTGGACAATCTTGTCCTCTAGAGAAGCTTCGCCTTCCTTCTTCTTACCAGACGAACAGATAGTTGCAAAATATGAGATGACCTTTTTGGTGTTCTCAGTTTTTCCAGCACCAGACTCTCCAGTGATGAGAATAGACTGGTTCATGCCAGAGTTCAACATTCCCTGGTAGGCACCTTCCGCAATTGCAAAGATATGGGGAGGGCATTCATTGCGCCTTTTTCCAGTATAGAGTTCCATAGTACGGAGAGTATAGATAGGGAACCTCTTGTAGGGATTGATTGCAATACAAAAAAGACCAGAGTAGGTGTAAATTAATTGATTGACATAGCGAATGGTTGAGTTCCACAGAACGCAGGCATCTCCAAGATAGGTAAGATTAGCCATGTCATCTGAGCAATCAAACTTTGGAGGATTGACCTGGCAAACTTGATCTTCTTTGAATACCTTCATTTCCCCTTTGACATTTACCGTCCACTTGTTACCATCTTTGGACTCAAGAAGACCCTCAAGATATCCTCCATCTGCTTTGTTTTTAACCCAAACAGATTTTTTGGGGTCATAGGGTTTAAGCTTGTTCTTATCCTTAAGTTCAGGAGAAACCACTAGCCATGGGCTGGGATCTGGGTCAGGTCCTGTGGTTTTCTTGATATGTCCAGGCATGTTTTTCTTAGTGGTGTCTTGTTGGAGAAACAATAGTCTCTAACAAATTTTCTGGGTAACATTTTATTTTATACTTTCAGTCTGCTGTACCGGTGGGACGTCCTGCAGAATACCAAACAGTGCCCATTTTTACCATAGGACTCTTGTATGCCCAGAAAATAAGCCTTGCTTTTCAAACCAAAAATTAGAAAATTATCCAATCAAAACAGCTTTTTTAAAAAAAAGTATAATTAAAATAAATTTAGATATAAATAAATCTTTGAAAAATCAGACTAGTCTTTCCTGTCAGGCTTTATTGTTTATTTGGTACCGGGACGTTTGCCCCGCGCAATTCTAAGAGGTCGGGTCAGCCAGGGGGGGGGGGAGGAGGGTGTGTGTGTGAGATGGGGAATATAATTTCAAAATCTTGGCATCCTTGTCCTGTAACCTCGTACTGCAAAACAAGGGGGATTTTAAAATAATTTACAATTTTGATTTTCATTATCCCAAATATTTGTTATTAATAGCAAAGAAATAGAAAACTTTTTAGTACGATAAAATTCACATTCTTTTTTCATATTTCATATTTTTTGGAAACTGTTGCTTAAAACATGCTTAAAATATACTGTTGCTTATACAAGCTTAAAATATCCAGAAGATTCACGAATTACTTTTTTTCGAACTTTTTTTAAAACCATGTCCGTGTCACTGAGTGGTAATTGAGTCTTTTTTAAAAACTTAAATTTTCCAATTCCTATAACTTTGAATACTAAGGTTGCAAGGATATAGGGGTTAGAAAATCTGAGTTTGCTACAAAAACTCAATTCCTTTAGAAAGGAGTTTCTGCATTTTGAAAGGGAAAAATTAGCAATAATAATAAATTTTAAAACTTAATGATATTAAATGTGATTTTTAATACTAGCCGTTATAGTAATCGAGAATTTAAAATGAATTTGTTTGGGGTATTTCATTTGGAATTTTGAGATATTAAGGTCCAAGTCGAATAATTTTGAAAGTAAGTTTAGCAACATATTTTAAAATTGAAATTTTTAGGAAACAATTATGTTTAGTTTTGTTCAGCAATAAACCTGCCCTGGGGTTTTGTGAGGTTTGGCATGTATTTGATACAAATAAACACCTACACAAATATAATATAAATAATAAAATATAATATAAATTAGTTATAATGAAATCCTAAAACTGTTGTGCATTCAAACTCACTTCATGGAGAATTTTATTATTGTCGTCCTTTAAAATAATCATCGTGCTTTAAAGTTAAATTAGCTGTATATTACAGCATCGTGCTATAATGTAAAATTAAGGTGTATGTCATAGCTATAAAAATTCAATTGGTTCCCGGGGTTTCACCAAAATTTAGGATATTTTTAGAATATTATTTTTTAATTAAAATGAAAATAAATATCATATTTTGATTTCTGCTTTGATAGAAAACTCAGTATATCTAGAAATAACCTTTACATCTAGACAACTACATCTTATCTTCGCGGCCATCCTCAATATCAAGTTTTAATTGTGGCTCTGTGAACATCTTCTATTTGTACAAGTTTGCAGAATTAAATAATATTTTTTTCATGGATTTTCAGAATTTTACTAAAATCAAAATTTGTGCACAATCTGATTTGCCGTTTTGACGTCTATTGGATTCAAAAGGACAGAAAAACAAACAAACAGGCAAGCAAAGAAAATTTTATTTTGTTTGAATTAAATTTCTTTTTTTTATTTCGTTTTTTTGTTGCCTAAAACACCCTCCGCCACCCATGAGTATCCACAAACTATTTAAGCCCATTCGGTACAGCCGTTTGGCCGGCTATAGGCAACATTTATAAATAATGTCTTGTTCTATTATATAGATATATATATTTTGTATAAACTGATCTTTCAAAAAGATCGCGATTAAATTTTAAAACTGTTCAGTATGAGGGTCAAAAAGCATTGTTTAATTCTAAATTCTAAATTCTAAATAAAAAATTTTATTTGATAAATTTCTTAAATGTTTGAAGCTTTCCAATATTCAAAACCATAAAACAAATCGTATGAATAGTAAAATGAATAGTATAAATAGTATAACAGCAACGGACTTAACAAATAATACTTAGCACACGAATTAATTTATTGTACGCCCACTTTAATTGATACTTGGAATTCTAAAGCTATCTGTTTTAACCGAATTCCAGAGATTTCTTGAATAAACGGAACATGTATTCGCTTTATTAGGCTTAAAGGTGTGAACATTTCAATTCAAAAAGTTTGGGGGAAATCATAGCGTGAGAAATAAATTCAATTCAAAACATTAATAAATACACTACTAAAATATTTTCTTGCACAAAAAGCCAAACATGGTTGTACACTGGACTTCTGGCTGCAGTCTCTTTGAAGCAAATGTGAAATTATATAAAATGCACTAGCGCCGAATCCAGATTATCTAAGTGTAAAATTCATCATAATCTGAATTCACGCGATCATGAGTTTAAGTTATACAAAGGAATTGAGTTTTTGCCACAAAGTCAGCTATTCTAATCCCTATATCATTGCAACCTGGCGATGTAACCTTAGATATTTTAAACTAAGACTAAGACTAACAGAATTCATAGATAGAAATATTAAAGTTCAACGACATCGGGTCGCAAGGATATAGGGATAAAAAATCAAAGTTTGTGGCAAAAACTCAAGTCCTTTACTTGAAATAAAATTCAATGAAAACAATTATAGGTCAATTGTTCGTGCTTAATAAAAAACAATTTTCGGGCAAAATTCTAAATTGTAAAGAGTGTGCCCTTTGTTTGTTTCTTTTTTTGTGTTTAGAATTGTCTCCAAATTCAGTCAACATATGACTATCAGTTAATACTTACAACAATATTATTTGTATTTAATTTAAATGTTATTGCTATGATAAGGTTGAAAGGTCGATGACAGTAGTGACAGAGTTACAATTGGGTGCAAAAAACTAAATAATGAGCTGGGACTTCTTTTGATGTTAACATATATTAAGATCTTCTTCCCTGGCTTTAAAAGTTAATTTTATTTTTCCCTCAAGATTTGTATATATTTGATATTTCATACTAGTTTTGATTTTGTTTTTTAAAACAATATTTAGTTTACAACTTGTTTTCGAACATTCCTGGAAAATATGAAAATGTCGTCTTCATTACCAAAAATCCTCGAAACAGGAATAAATGTTTTTATAAGTAACTCTCAGATCATAAGAATTAAAACATATTATGAAAAATCAACTATATATAAATGTGGCGAAAGATAATCGATAACTATAGGTTGTAATATCTGAATGATTTGTTTGAAATTAAATTGATTTTTTTACGATCTAAGTCGTATGTTGCATATCTTTCTGAATTTGTATGGACCCCATTTTATTCGGTATGAGACGTCTTTAACAATTTTCTCCTTATAGACGCAACATATAGAAGTAAGATTAGTAGCGATCAAAAGCGCTTTTTATCGCATTAAGCCTACCCCCTTTCATTTTTCGCGAACACTCCCTTTAAATTGTGTTAACTTAATTTAATCAATATAGCAATTCTTCTTGGAAAGAAAACAAAAATTCCTGTAAGTAAAATGAAAACTTAAAAATTTAGTCACGAGAGGTGACTAAGTCGTGACATTAATTTCCCAAATGATAATTTTATGATTGCAAAATCAAAACGTAAGGCTCTACGAGGTCACAATGTCAAACCAGTAATAAGAGCTGTGGCTTAATGGGGGGTAGGGGAAAATTCCACAGTGTGGTATTTTACCAAATTTATAGTGGCAAAACTTTACGACCCCCGCCCAGGGAAATGGGAAGTTTTATATATAGTTAAAATTGGAATTGTTGGCCTGGAAAAAAATTAAATTTTTATATTTACCGGCGGAAATAACGATTTTAGCTGTTTTTCATATAAAAGTGGACCCACTCAAAAATTAGAATCTAAAAACAAAGAACATTCCGTAGGTTAACAAAAAAGTATAAAAAAGCAAATACAATATCCCAAAAATGTTTGTGCGTATTGTTTAACCAAAAATCCTATATTCCTAGAATTATAGAATCACTTTGAAAAATACCGAAATTTCATAAAATTTGCTAAACATAAATATTGAAAAATTTAATAAATGTAACATAAAAAGCAACTAAGTTGAATTAATATCGTCACTACAAATAATGCCGAGTAAGATAATATATTCAAATTAAATAACTCCAAATTAATGGTCTCCAAATCAAATTAAAGGACTCCAAATCAAATTAAAGGACTCCAAATCAAATTAAAGTACTCCAATTCAAATTAAAGAACTCCAAATCAAATTAAAGGACTCCAAATCAAATTAAAGAACTCCAAAGCAAATTAAAGAACTCCAAATCAAATTAAAGGACTCCAAATCAAATTAAAGAACTCCAAAGCAAATTAAAGAACTCCAAATCAAATTAAAGAACTCTAAATCAAATTAAAGGACTCCAAATCAAATTAAACGACTCCAAATCAAATTAAAGGACTCAAAATCGAATTAAACGACTCCAAATCAAATTAAAGGACTCCAAATCAAATTAAAGAACTCCAAAGCAAACTTTATTTAGATTTTTAAAACTTTTAGACGTATTCCGATATTATTCAAATTTTAATAATGGGTTTACGGAAATAAAAAATGATATCTGAAATTATTATCATTTGTTTTTCTTTATCACCTTTCACATGGAAGAAAACCTATTCTTTTCTCCCCACCTAATTTGTACTTTCATTCCCGGCGAAACAATATTCCTCCCCCTTGAAAAAAATTACGATACTGCAATAGTTAAATATTATCTGAAAAGCCATTTCTTATTTTTTACCCTCATTTTGGTCTCTTTTTACATATTTTCTCATCTACTAATATGAAATTAATCAAAAATATGCTTTCGTGCCATTCTTCCAGAAGAATTTCTTATACCCAAAAAGAAAAAATGTGCTCTTATTGTCATCCAAAAGTCCATATTCTGCACCCTGTTATCTGAGCCCTACAATCCAGTCCAAACCTTCCATTAAAGGGACTGTAAACGAATTTAAAGTGACC